GGCCCAACCATCTGTGCTACATGGGTGGGGGCTTCACTGACACCAGTACATCCCATCCTTGTCAGATTTGAGTCAGTCCCAAAAGCCTCCACAGATCTCCTAGAGTGAAATTGTTTATAAAAGTGTCTATCTATAATGTAAACGCGCAAGTAGAATCGAAAGAATTGTGCTACCGTTCTCGACAATGTTTGACTCTTTTAAATGGTTTATTCATTTTGTTCATATCTTCTTTCAAATATTGCAATTAACAATTTATTTTCTCTTAAATGGCCTTTTTCTCATATTTCTTGTTCTCTTCCTACTTCCGAGGACAGAAGTTTTGGCGGCCGATGTTGGAACCTAGGTCCTACACAATCGTAGGAAGTATATAATGAGTGTTTCAATCCATTTGACATCATAGGAAAAGCCTTTATGGACGTTTAAATAATAATTTCAAACAAACAAACAAGGCACATATACGAAAACAGAGTTTATTGGCGGCCATATTGTGTGCCATCTTGAAAAATATGACCTCAAAGGTTTTTGTAATTAAGTTTTGAGTATTGAAATGTTTTTGGCATGTTTTTATGTAAGTAGATTTTGAGTATTGCAATGTGTTTGGAATCTGAGAAAACCCCTATGCAGATTTTTAACCAATATTATAGGCCAAATAACAAAAGAGTAATGGGGCAAACAGGGTCTGGCCGCCATCTTGGATACGGCACTTCCGGTTCAAATTTCGATTTGGCAACACGCAGATTTGTACTCAGCAGGGTCGATATTATCCTAAAAAAGCTGTTTACCCAATTGTTACATGAAACTTTTCTTGCATAGCTCTTTTTTAAAAACGTATCTTCTCCAATTGTGTTTGGTTGTAAATTAATAACATTAATAATATATGGATTATTAAATTACAAATTATTAGATTTTGGTTATTAAATGATAAAGAATAATTACGTTTTTGTTACCCAAGCAGCTTCAGGGTTGATTTCGGACGTATTTCGTCAGTAAAAACTCAAATATAATCACCTCAACGTATATTTAATCCGTTTTAAAAGTAAAATCTTTGTTAAAATCTAATTTATCACTTTTTAAAACGGGATATCACTATAAGTGTAATGGAGACTCTTAAAGGAAATTTCTTCTTCTTTTCAACTATAAAAGAATTATCAAAATCAGTCGAAAAACAATGGAGTTATTTGAATTTTTCTCGATCAAGGTCAAGTCAGGTGGTCCGCCATTTTGGATGGCAGCCATATTGGTACTCGACCAACGCCGATCGTGGCAACATGCGTTTTCTTACTGTCCAACTTGTCCATGACAACAATCAAAAGAGAAAGTGCGTCCGAATAATTTTGCATACTCAACCCCAACCACGGCCTGGTCTATTAGGGACGGAAGACTGACTGAAACCAACTAACGGACAATTGACTGAGAAATTGCGGATGCAACTGTGACTGGACTGTAACGGGACTGTGACTGGACTGATGCACACTGTTGTGTGTGAATCGACCTTAATTGCGGGTATTTACTCAGGGGAGGTATAGAAGAGGCTACGATGACAGCTGTGGGCTTCTTATTAGCTGAGGGAACGCCATTAGCGTAACAATACGACCTGAAGCACAGATAATATAACCCCTACTAGTATATTATCTCTGATCGTCTGTATATTATCTGTGCCTGAAGCCATCGGCCTCGGTAGTCTAGAGGCTAGCGTGCCGGACTGATATGCTGAAGGTCCCGAGTTCGAACCCCGTCGGTAGCATTTACTTTTTGTCCAAGATTTTTTCATTATCAGCAAGTTTGGTTGGTTTGGTTCGGTTATGACAGTTTAATTTTATTATTAAGTCATTATAAAATTTTAATTGAGCAATTTCTATTTTTTTTTTTAAACAGAATTATTTTTTCTATTACTAAACTTTTGTTATATTATTCCATTATCAGCAAGTTTGGTTAGTTCGGTTAGGTTATGATAGTTTAATTTTATAATTAAAAAATAATAAAATTTAATTTGAGGCATTTATAATTTTATTTTATCAACAGAACTATTTAGCGACTAGTGGCTTGTAGGGACATAAGTCCCTAAAAAGCTCAAATGTAAAACAACTTTTTGCAATACCGGTATTTAAACAAACTCAGAATAACAATATCTATGTGTCAGAATAGGCATCCCTACACCATATCTTTTGTGTAAAAACCAGTTTGTTGTTCTTCTTTGTTTGCTTTTGTTGATGTCATTTTCAATAAATAATTTGAATCACTCCAGTGGTTTAACATGAAAAGGCAGCAAACATATCATTGTTTGTGAATAAATACTGGTTTACTAAGGTAGCTTTGGTCTTGTGGTTAATGAGGATAAATAAAAGCTTCCCTGTTTGGAATTTTAAAAATTCATTGGAGGTTCGCCTTCAGATGAATTGAAGACGCCTGCAATTTCATCTGCAGTAGGCTTATTATACCTACGACGATCCATATTTATCCTGTCTACAAACCTAAGTTCTAATTCACTGTCACCTTGTACAACCATTTCCTCCTGATGCTCTTTTGTAAATTTGTGCAAATGGATTTTCTAATAGAATTTCAGCTAGTTTTGACAATATTTCAGGTTTTAAGTCACTATTTTCTAGACGCCTTTGACGAATTTCTGTTGCTGTTGATGTGTCAATAATGTACAATTGGCCATACACGGGGTCTTCATCATGTCGAGGCAGCAAATCAGAGATTGAACGATAAATCTGTCCTTGAATTTTGAAACAGTATGGTCCTTTTCCTGGAATATCTTTCTTACTGGCTGAAAAATAAGCAAAAGCCATCGCACTGTTGCATTGTCGAATGAATTTATACAGTTGTGGGCTCTCTTCAAACAAACTTTTAAGTTCTACATTAGTTTTTGACTGAGGAAGGTTAATAAGTCCGTTATGACAACATGTAATAAAAATGATTATTCGTTAGTTCTTCTCTAAAACGAAGAGCACTACATTGAATGCACTCTTCGGTCCAATAATCCTGCATCACGGATCTTTACATTTCTCTCGTCTACCATGGGTCTCCTAAAAAGGGGTTGTAACATATCTTGATTAAGTTCGTCATTATCTACTCTTGCTCTCCTACGCGCACTGTCATTCCTATGAACAGTTCCCCGCCTTTGTGGTATTCCCCTGGCGTTCATATTAATTACAGTACTTATAATGAAAATAATATATATATCCAGCAGCCTACATACCAAAACATCTTGAATCCCTGGTGATTTTATAAAAGTATGATCGAATATGATTACTCTACGTTGTATATTCACTGCACTAAAACAATTTACTTACGAAGGAATGCAAATACACCATTTTAGAACCAATAACATTTATAGGTTATTTTTGTTGTATATATTTACACAACCTTAACCTTAAAATGTGTAGAAATATAAAGAAAACAACATCATTTAAAATAAACTTGAACATATGATTTAAAAATAAAAACAAAACAGAAGTTAGATTTAATTTCGACTCTTTGATTATTTATACAGAATATTTATTCTATGTCGTTTATTCCTTTAACACGACAATAACGTAAAAGCATGAAAAAATGAAACTTGAGTATATGATTTAAATATAAACAAAGAATGCAGACGTTTTCCCGACTAATCTTCAATATTTCAGTTTTATTTTAGTATACATTTCATAGTTGACTGGCTAAAAGTAAACCAAATGCGTGTATTGATCACTGTTTTCAAATCTGTGGCACAGCTGTTTCAATTTCAAAAGATGTAAACAAATTAAACCCCATGTTGTTTTAATGGGAAAAGTTTTATTCTGTTGCTAATTTATGGTAAAAAAATAAGAAAAATGAATAGTTTTCCCTCAAAATTCACGTCAAGACCTTTAAAATAAGACCCCTCCCAGCCTTCTACGGTCATCCAGTCACTCACAATTTCTTTAAAAAAATTTGACTTACGGAATTATATATATAGATGTTGTTTTAATGGGAAAAGTTTTATTCTGTTGCTAATTTATTGTAAAAAAATAAGAAAAATGAATAGTTTTCCCTCAAAATTCACGTCAAGACCTTTAAAATAAGACCCCTCCCAGCCTTCTACGGCCATCCAGTCACTCACAATTTCTTTACAAAAATTTGACTTACGGAATTATATATATAGAGTAGTGCTTCATTGCCAAAGTGCTCTCTACTACAGCGCTGTTCACGGAGGAATTTTGAACGAATGCCTCAATCGTACCTCCCCTGTCAGACCCGGCGGATGCAATTGAGACTGAACTGTAACTGGACTCGGACTGTAACGGAACTGTGACTGAGACTGAACTGATATGTGTGAATCGGGAATCCACCTGAAAAGAGCCACTCACTTAACTTCACGACGATGACGTGACGCCCGTGCGCACGATTTTTATTTCAGCTGCAGTTTTTTAATACGGACAAAATGAGAGTCTAAAAATTAGAAATAAAAAAATATCATAAAACTAAAAAAAATTTAAAATTAATTTTTTAATAATAAAATTAAAATGTTATAACCTAACCTAACTAACCAAACTTGCTGATAATGAAAAAATTGAATTAAGGTTTACTTATCAAAAAAATAGTTCTGTTCATAAAATAAAACTATAAATGCCTCAAATTCAATTTAATTTTTTTTTTATTATAAAATTTAACTGTCATAACCTAACCAAACTTGCTGATAATGCAAAAATCTTAGATAAAAAGTTAATGCCACCGACAGGTTTCGAAACCGACACCTATAGCTTCTCAGCACTTTATCCATTAGACCACCGAGGCCGATGGCTACAAGCAGGGCTACTACAAGCCGTATCGTTGCGGTAATGGTTCCCTCAGCCAATAGAATGCTCTCATTTTGACCGTATTAAAAATACTGCAGCTGAAATAAAAATTCAGCCGCCCGTGCCGTGACGGTGACGGTAGTGACGGTTCTCCAAGAGCAAGACCAAGACTCAAATACAAGGAAAGTACGCACGCTCACGCACGGTGCACGGTAATTCCTATCCTATCTGTAATGACGTAAACATTGCTTGTACTCACTGTTGTTTATTACTGTTAAAACTCTCATGTTTCTGCAAATAAATGGCGACAGGCATGGGTGAGTCATTGGGAAAACCTTTTATCCTTGTTTTGTCAGTATAATTTAAATCAGTTAAGTACTGCAGTGAAAAAGGTTCACTAGCCCTGTTTATAGCAGTGTTTCTGTTAAAATACAACATGCCTACTACAAAGTATTATGATGACAACTTATCATTTCTTCCCTCTCACCAGTGGACTAGTCAGCCCCAGCAAGTTTCAGGATTTCCTAGTTGTTCAACTGTAATTGCAGGTATATTTTTTAGCAATAAGGCATGGCTTGGTTTTGGGCCCCTAACCTAATTGGGCCTAATTTAAGTTACTTTTTTATCTGAATATCACTTGCCTCGCCTTAGCTTAGGTACCGGTAGGCCTACTTAACGTAGGCTGATTAGGCCTAGCCAGATAGGATTTGGCCTAAGCTGTTGACATGAAAACTTTTGTGGGTAAAAAAAGTACCTAAGTAACTTACCAGACCTAGCCTATAAGTGCTAGACAAGTTTGGCTGCACTTTACTTGACGTCCTACACCCATTCGATTGTTTTTCGATTCGATATTTTCATTCGATTGTTTCATTTGATATATCGTTTGGTTAGTTAGGTTAGGTTAACCTTACCTAACTAACCAAACGATATATCGAATGAAGCAATCAATTAATCGATCATCGATCGATATTTTCATTCGAATGAGTGTAGGACGTCAAGTAAAGTGCAGCCACAAGTTTGAAGGATAAGGTCCTCCAGCAATGATTTTAATTTTTTTTTTTTAAGAGGTTGGCGGCCTCTTTTAACTTTGCATTTGCCCGTCCACATAGACTAAGCGCCCGTGCGTGGATCGTTTACAGCAAAGCAAGGAGTGAGCTGGTACAGTACAAAGGTGAACTGTACTGATAAAATGTTATCGGCAGTGACCAGGATCCGAACCCACGGCATCGCTGCCTTGGGCCCGAAGTCCGCGACGCTACCGACTGAGCCACCGACTCACTAACTTAAGTTAATTTAGCCTTTAAGTTAAGTTACTCAACTGTCTGAATATACCTAAATCTGACCCAGATGTTATAAATATCGTCGTGAAACTGGCAATAGATCAGCAATAACTCCGCTCCCTTCTAGTACCGCCCCTCCTGGTCCGACGATCACACGTCACAGTAAAATGTTATAAGTTACCTCAGGCTGACTACGTCATCACTAGGTTGTCATAACCTCCAAATAATCAGTGGCGGGAAATATTTTTTGTTAAATATGCATTTTAGGGTTTGCACGCGATTTTTGAATTTTTTTTTTTCATTCTACTCGAAATTTAACGCTGATTCCGAAAATGACGTTCTTTTTCCGCGGAAAACGACCATAACGCGGAAAAACGACCAAAACGACCAAAAACTCTTTTTTTACCAAAACACGTCATGTGGGTACTCAAATTAACCGTAATATTAAGCAGATCACGACTATGCAAGAATTTTTTGGATCCGAGGTCAAATAAGCGAGATTTTCACGTAAATATGCGATGCTATTTTGGATTTTTGCTCTAACTTTTGTCTGTGTTATCTGGTGTTTATGTTTTAATTTAACAGGTAAAAGGGATGATACTATGCATAACCTAACTTAACCTAACCTACCCTAACCTAACCAACCTAACCAAACCTAACCTAACCAACCTAACCTAACCTAACCAACCTAACCTAACCTAACCAACCTAACCTAACCAAACTGACCTAACCTAACTTAACCTAACCTAACCTAACCTAATCAACCTAACCTAACCAACCTAACCTAACCTAACCTAACCTAATCAATCTAACCTAACCTAACCAACCTAACCTAACCAACCTAACCTAACCTAACCTAACCAAAATAACCTAACCAACCTAACCTAACCTAACCTAACCAACCTAACCTAACCAACCTAACCTAACCAACCTAACCTAACCAACCTAACCTAACCAACCTAACCTAACCTAACCAACCTAACCTAACCAACCTAACCAAACCTAACCTAACCAACCTAACCAACCTAACCTAACCTAACCAACCTAACCTAACCTAACCAACCTAACCTAACCTAACGAGCAACATGGCAGTGCTACTACAACCAATGAATAGGTTGGTACTGAAAAATTTCCCAATTTCAAGCATATCTCCCATAATTCTCCCGACTAATTACCCATTATTTTTTACACATTAAATTACAACGATAAACCACGTTAGATGTCTCCCCCACCCAAAACCCCGAATTCCCACCTGTCCCCTAGTGAGTTGGAGTTATTGCTGGTAGTATCACGTTTTCGTGAATATCTCGCTTATTTGACCTCGGATCCAAAAAATTCTTGCATAGTCGTGATCTGCTAAATATTCCGGTTAATTTGAGTACCCACATGACGTGTTTTGGTAAAAAAAGAGTTTTTGGTCGTTTTGGTCGTTTTTCCGCGTTATGGTCGTTTTCCGCGGAAAAAGAACGTCATTTTCGGAATCAGCGTTAAATTTCGAGTAGAATGAAAAAAAAAAATTCAAAAATCGCGTGCAAACCCTAAAATGCATATTAACCTATTTTTCTTCTAAACGCTAAATTAACTTAATTGTGTTTAACTTAGCTTAATTAAGTAGGCCTAACTTAAGTTATTTACATTCTTGTCCCATAACTTAATGTGTGGTCTTGATTTAAGAGAATAACTTACATACATAGCATTTTTGAGCACTGACAAGTTTAGGCCTAAAGTAACTTAAATTAATTTGCCAACTACCGGTACCGTAACTTTAATTTAGTTAAGTTAGGCTACAAAAATGTTTTGTATTGGTACGTTAGGTACTGATCTCATGACCGGCAAATTTAATAAGGTTTAGGCCTAGACATTAAGTTAATCTAAGTACTGTAAAAGGAGTAAAATGGGATCTGTAAGAGGAAAGAAATTTTAGGCCTATACCACAGAAAACATACTACTATAACCCAGAATGCCAACCGCATGGTAAAAAGCATTAAGTGTTTTGAGAGAGCTTTGCCTGTCAATCGTAGGCAGCGCCACCAGCGTTGCCATGCACTCAGCATAGCAACGCTGGTGGCGCTGCCTACGATTGACAGGCAAAGCTCTCTCAAAACACTTAATGCTTTTTACCATGCGGTTGGCATTCTGGGTTATAGTAATATGTTTTCTGTGCCTATATGTAGGCATAATCGGAATAGGCCTAACTTAACTTAATCAGTACCGGTATTGGTATCGTGAGCTAGTTTTCTGATATTTTTTTTCTTGTCCACTAAAATAAATTAAAACTAGACTACCCTAACTTAATTAATTCTCAACAGCAAACATCATTTTACAAAAAATACATTTTTACAGTTCAATACATTAAGTTAGCAAGCAAGCAATAGCAAAAGTAATTTTAAGGTGGCATAAATATTCGATGAAAACAAACAGTGATGAAATATAAATTAGGAGAACTGAGCAAAACTCGGGAACATGATTGAGCAATAAAATATAAAATCAACAAGAGAACAAAAAAAAAACGTACAACAAGTGGTAACAAGAATGTCCCTATTCCCTATTCTTACTGGAATGTGAGCTGGCCATACATTTTTACCTCCTCCTTGACCGAGACCAGCAAAGCCGGATAGGTTGCGTCAATTTCTTTTTTCTATTTACACTATATGTATACATAAAAACTTCCATAGATTGAAGTATGAAACTGTATTAAAAGTACTTTGGCGGTGGATGATTTTGCCGCAGGCTTATTGACCTAAGAGTTTTTCATTAAAATAGTCTTGTAGGCTGTAGTATGGTTTCTTCCTCAACAAGTTTTTCAGGGCTGTACGAAAGGCCGTTTCCCCTTGGTTTTTGATTGACGTAGGCAGGTGGTTGTAAATCTTCAGGGCAAGCGTTGGGAAAGAGTTTTTGGTTTTAGACAGCCGGCAGAACGGTATGTCCAGGTCGGAGCGATGTCTTGTACCATGGCTATGAACAGTATTTCTTGTAGGGAATTTATGTAGGTTTGCCTTCACATGGTCGGCTGACAAAAAAATGTAATGACTGACAATAGTTAAAATACCGGTGCTGACAAACAGAGGTTTGCAATGGTCTTTTCTTTTACTAGAAGTTAAAATACGTACTGCTTTCTTCTGCAATTTGAGAATTTCAAGACATGATGGTGCATGGCCCCAGAGAAGGAGACCATAGCTTAAAATACTATGGAACAGAGCATGGTACACTATAATCAAATAAGGTTTACTGACAAGCCTAGTCAACTTCCGAAGTAGATGGGCCACCCTGGACAGTCTTTTTCCAACTGATTGGATGTGTTTATCCCAAGCAAGTTTTGGATCAATTGCAAAACCAAGAAGATTTACGTTTGGTACATCTTGTACGTGGTGACTGAGAGTACAAGTAAGTCTCTGCGTCTTGTCTTCATTCAGTTTTAGTTTGTTGGACGCAAACCAGTGTTTCGCTTCTTCAAATTGGATGTCAGCTGTCTCAAGTGCAAGAGTAGGATTTGCACCAGACGAGAAAATGGTAGTGTCATCCGCAAATTAAGGGCCATACCATTTAATTCGAGGTCATTTATGGCGACAAGGAACAGTACAGGCCCCATAATCGAGCCTTGGGGAACTCCATGGGCTACAGTCATGGCCTGGGATTTTGCACCACTCAAAGAGACCACTTGCCTTCTATTACCAAGATAGGATTTGAATGTGTGTAGGGCGACACCACCCACATCATAACGTTCGAGTTTGTCAATCAGGATTTTGTGGGAGATGCAATCGAATGCTTTGCTCAGGTCGCAAAGTGTCAATGCCAACGTGTCCGAAGATTCAAAAGCATCCTGCACTCTGGTTACAAGTTCGGCCATCGCAGTCACAGTAGATCTATTACGCCTGAATCCATGTTGAAGATCGGAAAAAAGGTTGTTTGATTCAAAAAAATTTACTAGTTGATTCTTGATGATGGTTTCTATTACTTTACTAAACACAGGAATTACAGAAATAGGCCTATAGCTGTTTAGGTTTGAAGGATCGCCCTTTTTATAGATAGGGACCGTTCGTGCAACTTTCAAAAGATCGGGAAAAATTCCAATGCTCAGACAGCCATTTATAATCATGGATAGAGGTTGAGCAATTACATCCACTATGGCCTTGAGGACAACAGTTGACATGCCGTAGATATCCGGGCTACGTGAGGATTTAAACCCCGACACGATCTTTACTATCTCCAAAGGAGTTACTATATAAGGCACATTTTGTGTTATCTGAGCGTCCACAGGCCATGTGTTGCGTATGCATCGAGTAACGTGTGGGCGCAGAGAGTGGTGGGTAAATATAGTTAACTCTAATGTTCTGTGTGATATTAACTTACTACGTTACGTACGTACTACATTTTTTGTCCGCAAAAAAGTACGAGGGGAGTGGGTAGAAATTTGTCTGGTTGTCTAAGTTATCTGCTTATGTCCAACTGTCTCCCACAATTCCAAGAAATTAAATAGCTAGGCCTACTAACCATTCATAAATAGTAAGTGTTCCATAAATATTTTAGGTACCGTACCATACCGTACGGTATAAGATTTGTAGGCCTAGCTTAAGTTATTAAAATGCGTATGATTTCCCACCTTTTCATCAAGAAACGTAGAACACAACAAATCAAATCAAATAATTTATTTAGAAAGAATTTTTACAGAACAATGCATTAGCTAAGTCATATTATTTTTAAAACATGCCTTTACATAGGTCTATAATTATATAAGTTACAGGGATTTACAAAATGGACAACAAGGTGGAACATGGGATTTGATTACCGTAATATTTCTCCGAGACCTTCCTTCTAGATCCACGAATTCAAGTTATTAAATAATGCCTTTTCACTTGCCTTTAGAGCATTGTTTTCGTCCTTTAGTTTTATCATCCAAAGTCCTAAGTTTTATTGCCAGCAAAGTCGTCTTTAGTGGCAAAATTAGTCAGTTATGTATCTAATAGATGACATATCTATCTGACATGAGCTTGCTGTGGGATATATCTCCTACCTTTTCATTTTCCATTTTGTCTAACCTGGACCGTGCTGGGGGAGGTGTTTCCGGTGAAGCCATTTCTCTGGTAGGCCTATGCTTGATGAGATGGTTGGGCAGTGATCATCACACAATGTTGTGCATGTATTTTTGTGTGGATGGAGTGGACAACGGTATCGATGTGAATTTTAGTATTGTAGTGAATTTGACCACTAAACTTGAACATTGGGGACCACATTCATAGCCTAGCTTTGTTTTCTACAAATATTGCATGTGAGATAAGATGTGATGGCACCGTTGTATTTACGAAAGTTAGGCTATGTATGTAGCCTTGTCAATTTCCGTATAAAGTATGAAGAGGTCTGATTTCAAGGAGCGTAAACTTTGTATCAAGTCTGGAGTTATTGAATAGGTTGTGCCAGGAAGGAAAACCAATCACTCTTGTGCAAAATATCCCCACAGTTTATAGGCTACTTAACAAAATATCCCCTTCATATTTTTGTAAACAACGTAATAAATAACTTTACTTCATTACGTTGTTTCCGCAAACTTCACAAACTTGTGTCTATTGGTTTAAGTTTTTTGCAAAAAAAAACCCCGGATCTCTGACCACACCTCACAACAATGCTCATAGATCTACAAAGCATTTTTTGGACTTGAAACTGTCAGATACTGTGTATTTGTTTATATAGGCTATAATAGTTTGGCCAGCATATCTGAAAATATGAAAACCAACTCCTGTTCTTTATATATGAAGGTTTCAACTGACTACTGTAAGATCCCCTTGTGTAGAACAATGAATGAGGACATCATTGAGTATATATTTAACACATGTTCAAAACATGCAAACACTATATAAAAGGGATTTATTAATAAAAAACCTACGCTGTAAATGTTGCGGCGGTGGCAATATACGAGTGGAACGGTCAGACGTGAATGTCGCCGTAGCGGCAAATGCAGGTCTCAAAAAAGGCCATAGGCCTACATCTCAGTGTTTTTGACATATTGTTTCTCTTCACTGGGAAATATTTTGTAACTATTTCAATCACCCTAACAATTTCTCAACACAATTTTTTCTCTATTTTAAGTTGTAGATAAAAATAATTTTGAAGCTTGATGGTGCAGGTCAATGGCAATATAATGGCCTGATGACTCCGCTCAATTTTGTGGACGCGACTGTGAACGCCACCTAGTAATTATATATCCAGGGTCCAATGAAGGGGAAGGGGCTTAAGCCCGTCAAAGCCAGTGTTTTTTTTTTTTTTTTACATTATAAGACCTTAACACATTTAAGTAAACTGGTCCCAAATCTTTGTCGTACTAAGATTTTAACAAAAATATATTTATCATACAATCCAGTATAGGGCCTAATAGGGAAATTTGGTATGAGCAGGCTAATTTCAAACAATACTACTAGCAAACATTCAAGCATTTGGTGTAAGTTTTTTGTATGAGTATTAATATAGCCTACATTCAATTTGTAATAAGCACAATAAAATTTTAGGTGGTGCAAGCAGTCATGGCAGTAGCGGTAGTGAATCGGAGATTCCTACTCCAAACAGATTTTGTGAGGGTTCAAATAGTCCAATGAGATCTCCAGACACAACAACTATGGAGGATCCAACGGGTAATTAACTAACTCTTTCATTTTTATTTATAGGTCCACTTTTTTGTTAGTCTAGTTATAAAGCAATTGACAGGTAAGTGTGTTATTTGTCAGTTGTTTTTGTATAAAAAATTAGTGTTAACAATAACATGCAACTAATACTCGTAAGAGGCGGTTTGGGAGCTAGTTTTTAGCGCTAGTCCGCGCCTAAGACCGGATATTTCCACTATTTAGACTGCCGCCTAGAAAACGGGTTTGCGAGCTCGGAATTAGTTAGGTGCGTGTCTACCTTAGGCAGGGATAATCTCGGGCCTAACTATATCTGGTTTGGGAGTCTAGTAGACTTAGGCTCCAGCCTAAGAGATAATATCGGTGAGTTTGGGAGTTATTGATAAAAACTAGTTATTGATAAAACTGTTATTGATAAAAATTAGTGAGCTTAGGCTGCAACTTTAGTCCTGCCAGAGGGCAGGTTTTAGTGGACATCATGCCGGTATTAGCTCATTAGCATGTTTATTGTTTACATATTAACTAAATGAATGTTATTTTGGAATTTGTTATTAAATTTGGAACAATTTCATTACTCTCAAAATATATTTGAAAAAAGTCTTTTTAGGTTTCTGATGTTTAAAATAAAACAAAAATCCCTTAGTAAGCTAAAATTAACCAAAAATTATTTAGTTTATGTTTTTAATGTTAACTGAAATTACAATATGGACCCTAACTGGATTTTGGTTATATACACCCGTACCTTAATTATAAATATTTTACTAGGCTAGCTAAGAAAAAATGAACAAATTCATACATCCCCCCACATCCACCCCTCCCCCTATGAAAGAGTGAAGGGATAGTAAAAAAAAAAAAAAATGTGCAGAAGCGATGCCTAGTTATAGTTTTTCTTTAATTGTGTTGTGACTGAATGTAATGTTATTGACCAAGTGCTACCAAGTGTTGTTGACATCAAAATGTAGTACCTCGATTATTTGGAGTAAAAGAAAAAATGTATATATCAAAAGGCTGTCTTGTTTGAATTTAAAAATTGGCAACAACATTTTTTTATATTTTAAGTATTAAAAGATATTTTACATTTACCTCGGCTTCATACAGTCATTACCTCCAAAATTACTTAAAATACTTTTTATTTTTTTATTTTTGCCAATGCCCCTATATCAGTGGTCCCCAAATGGCGGACCGCGGTCCGGATCCGGACCGCCGCCTGATTTTTTACGGACCGTTAGTTCGAATTCACAAACTGTGTTTTTTATGTATTTTTATCTTTTAGTGAATTTAAACTTTATTTGAACCTAAAGATATATCGGTACCAACCATTAAAGATTAAAATATTTTATACGAGAAAACTATTTTTATCGAAACATAGTTAATTCATAGTTAATTCGCCGTGCTCCGCGCTAGATAAAAACCGTTATAAGCGATGCTATGCACCGGCTTTTTCTTCACGCTTCCTCCCCTCCGTCGCTAATTGAACTCGCCCACCCAGTGGCCACGTCACGTCGTCATCGCCAGGCCGCCCGGCGCCCGCACTAGCTCAGCTGTTGTAGTCAGCACTGTCGATGTCGCGTCGTCTGTTTGTTAACTAATGTGGTGTTTAGTTCTCTCATTGATTATTCATCCTGCCGTGTGTTAGTTATGCAAAAAGTGTAGTGCGAATTACTTACAATGGATAGCAAAAAGCGGAAAGTAGACAGTGAAAATAGGCAGTTTTTACCAGAGTGGACGGACCAGTATTTGTTTATACTTCCAAACAAAAGTGGAGCTGTGCCTGTGTGTTTGATATGTCAACAAACTGTATCTGTTGTCAAGAGTTCAAACGTTAAACGACACTTTGAGACTAAACACAAGCCGTTTGATGCAAAATACCCAACAGGAAGTGATCTTCGCAAGTCTAAGATTGAGAGTTTACGTTCGAACTACTTAGCTAGTACCCAGATATTAAATCGAACAATGACTGCCCAAGAAAGATGTGCAGAGGCTTCTTTGCGTATTTCGTGGACTCTCGCTAAACACATGAAACCGTTTACTGATGCAGATATAGTCAAAGAATGCATGATTGAGGCAGGAAACGTGTTATTTGAGAATAAACAAGACGTTGTTGACACTATTCGTCGCATGCCGCTTTCTGCATCTACCAGCACACGAAACACTGAAGTTTTAGCAGAAGAAAGTTCTAAAAGCTTGAAACAGATTCTAGCAGCTACAGACAGATACGCTTTAGCGTTAGACGAATCATGTGACATTACCGATACAGCTCAATTGATTGTTTTTGTGAGGTTTTTGGACATTAAAAAAGAACAGTTTGTGGAAGAATTGTTAACTATATTGCCAATATCAGGGCAAACACGTGGAGAGGACTTGTACAATGTTTTAATGGACTATTTTGAGAAAGCTGACTTGGATTTGAAAAAAAATATATCAGTAACGACAGATGGTGCTCGTGCGATGACAGGAAAAAACAAAGGCTTGGTAAGTCGAATGAAAACAGACCCTAAATTTAATGAAAGTTTGCTAGCCTACCACTGCATTATCCATCAAAGTGTGTTGTGTTGCAAACTGAATCCTGCTCTTGAAGGTACAATGCAAACTGTAGTTAAGATCATTAACTTCATACGATCAAAGTCTTCACTTAGGCATCGTCAATTCAAATCACTTCTTGAGGAAACTGAAGCACAGTTTGACGATTTATTACTTCACAACAACGTAAGGTGGCTGAGCAAAGGATTTGTACTTCAACGGTTTTTTGCTGTTATGGAGGACATAAAAGTATTTCTTTCGGAGTGTAGTGAAGAAGTTGCAAATGAACACTTGGGCTTTCTGCTTGATACAGAAGACACTATCCCAAAAATAGCTTTCCTGACAGATGTCTTCAGACATTTCAATATGTTAAACTTAAAGATTCAAGGGAAAGGACTTCTTGTGTGTGAACTTCTCTCAGAAATTAGAAGCTTTACGAGAAAGGTTGTTCTTTGGTGTGAAGATATCAGTAACGAACGTGTGCACTTTCCCAGCCTGAACTCAGTTTGTGAAACCGACGACGTTATTGACATGACACAGTTTGTAAACTTTTTAAACGACCTCAAATCTGAGTTTGAAGCTCGATTTAGTGACTTTGACAAAATAGGGAATGTGGTTCAAGTCCTAAATAACTGTTTTTCTCTAAAGCCTAATGGAGAGTGGACCAATGAAGCAGCAGTAGTTTTGAATTGTAATAAAGCAGCCCTGCAAATGGAAATAATAGATTTCCAGGAAGACATTGCTCTGAAGGACAAATTTAGACAAGTCCCGAAAGAACTTTCGTGTGAGCTATTTTGGATCAAGTATGTGAGCAGTGAAAAATATCCTGAACTGAAAAACTTGGCCATCAAACTTTGTACAATGTTTGGATCAACGTACACATGTGAGTCTGCATTTTCAAGGATGAACTTTATCAAAAATAAATACAGATCTCGCCTCAGTGACAGCCACCTCAACAACCTGATGAGAATCAGCTGCACAGGACTCATTCCAAACTTTAAAGAAGTGGCCCAGAATAAAAAATGTCATTTCTCTCACTAAGTTTGAATACTCATATGTGTATTTTATGTATTTTTTTGCACTTTATGTATCTTTATGTAATTTCTAAGTGAAATTAAATTTGATGACACAATTTATAATTTGTGATTTTTTCCAAACCTAAACAATAGGCTATTTTCTAATAAATTCAAACTTTTATATGGTATTTAGGCAACAAAAAAATGTTACAAATAGCATGCGCAAATAGGCTTAAATCACACCATTTTAACTGAAATTTTGAAAATTTTTCCGGGGGAGAGCCCTCGGACCTCCCTCTTGGCTGGGGGGTATTCCATACCCCCCAGACCCCCCGGATCCTTGTGCGGACCGTGACAGTCTTCTAGAAACTTGGGATGGACCTCCATTGCATTTAATTGGTGACCACTGCCCTATATTATACAGGGAAATTGCCGTTTCATTTTGAAGCTTTTTATTGCATGACGCCAAGTTTCAGCTGTTACCACAACATGTTAAACACAACAAGACATTTTTGCATTGGCACAACGCAGAAACTTAAACCGTATAACTAATCTATTATTCTAATTCCGTAAGGAATTTCTTGTGCACAGCAAAACTCTTTTAACATTAAGTTAAGAGTTTCATACAAAAAGTACATCAATACATTACTTATTCTTTATGGGAAAATTTCTAAAATATAAAAATTTTAACTTGTGTTAACTTTTTCCAGCTCATCTATCACCTTATTTGCAAATGGTCGAACCACCAGTGGAGTCGCTAAGGTTTCGTTACCCCACAGAGATGAAAGGGACCCATGGCTCAATTTTAGGAATTAGCTCAGGTTCTAAAAAGAGCAAGAAAACATTTCCTTCTGTTAAGGTAAAACGGTTGTTAGTTTGTATATCGTTATAAAACACCTACTTTCTACTCAGACAAAACTTCCTTCTTTAAGTTTCTGGCTTAAGCCTTTTAATTGATTTAATCAATTTTGCATGCTTACTAACAAATGTGTGTAGTAATAAAAAATAACACATATTGATAAAATATTTTTTATTGATATAGTTATCTTGATTTTACTCAAAATTTTCATTTATTTATTTTTAATATTTTTACTTACATTTAGTAACATACAAAAATTAATTCAAACCTTCATAAATATTATATTTTTACAAAGGTTTTTATTTCAATTTTAGGAAAAAAGTTGTATCAAAATATGTGCAAAAACAAAAAAAATGTAGCCATTTTATATAAGCATTGCGTTTAAGTACAAATGATTATACGGCGGTTCTTTATTATATGGATGAAAAAATGCTGGCGGTAAAAGGGTTAAGTTGTTGGATTTAAAATCATCTAAAAATAAGATTCATGATTGACTTACTAGACATGATTTTTATTCTATAAAGGATTTTTGTAGAATGTGTTATACAGGGTGTCCATAAAAAATGTTTCAGGACTTAAGGAAATGAATCCTAATACTAAAAGGAAGAAAAAAGTTTATGTGAAGGTATGTCCGAAAATGCATATTTACCCAGTTATCCGCCATTTTATTTTTATACAAAATATTTTTATCTGTGAAGTTTTCATTCGATGATTATGAAATTTGGTAACCATTTTAACATACACAAGACCTATAATAGGAAAAAAATAATAAAGTTGTTCCGATTGTACATTTCAAAAGGGCGGCCGTTTGAATTTTTATAACTTAAAAAGCCTAACTCAAAAACAGCTAATTCTATGAAACAATGTCAAGAATACTTTTTTTAGCATTTTTAATTCCCTATCAAACGATACCAAGATTAAAATGATCAGACAAAAGATAACTGAAATGTAAAGTTTTTTTTTTTTTTTAAATATAAGGCAAAGTTAAAATGGTTTATATTACCTGTCTGTCAGTGATCCTATTGTTGTCGTCTTAGGCGACCGGTTTCGAGATTAAAATCCCATCATCGGGCTGTTATAAAATGTCATGACGGAAAGGTAATATAAACCATTTAGTTCAATAAGTGATCCTGGGCCACTAAGCATAATGAAGGCAAAGTTAGTCAGGGAACCCTTAATTTTGCCTGGTCTAACAGCTAAAACTTGTTCTATTTCAATTATTAGTTGTCCGATATTGATCTTGGTATTGTTTGATAGGGAATTAAAAATGCTTAAAAAAAGTATCCTTGAAATTTGTTTATAGAATTAGCAGTTTTTGAGTTATTTAAGTTATACAAATTCAAACAGCCGCCATTTCGAAATTTACAATCGGAACAACTTTATTATTTTTTCTATAATAGGTCTTGTGCATGTTAACACGGCTACCAAATTTCATAATCATCAAATGAAAAACTTTACAGATAAAAATATTTTTGTATAAAAAACAAAATGGCAGATAACTGGTTAAATAGCCTATACATTTTCAGACATACCTTCACATAAACTTTTTTCTTCCTTTTAGTAAGAGGATTCATTTCCTAAAGTCCTGAAACGTTTTTTATGGACACCCTGTATAGTGTAAACTAAATGTTGGGTCCCACAGTAAATGTTGGGACTACAGTAAAACGCTGATTATCTGAACGCCGATTAACCGAATCGCCAATTATGCGAATTGGCTCCAAGCTTAATATTAAAAATTAAAACTAATTGCAAAAATTCAACCGACTGCCACGTAGACACAATGAATACGCCACCCCACGCGGAGGTGTAGTGAATTGACATCGAGATAGCGTTTAGATGCGCAGAATGTACTGCGCATGCACCTGCAGGCACTCCCCCTACCCAATGACACGTGAACTATCGATTTTAGGTGGATTATAGGTCAGTTAGCTCCTCCCTTTCCTATTGTGCGGATTGCTGATTTTTATATAGAGTGGTGAGATTGTCAAACTTGTGATCTTCATTACTGTATGGTTACGGGTGTTAAATAACTAAGTAAAATGAGTGCAACACGAAAACGTGTTGTACTATGGCTTAAAGACAAAGTGGAAATAATAAACCAACTAACAAAAGGAGTGGCGGGACAGGTATTGGCGGAGAGATTTGGTGTCAGGGCGGCTACGATTACTGATATAAAAAATAGCAAGGGAAAAGATTTTAAGTTTTGTGACTACGTTGGAAATTGGTGATGGATGTTCGTCACAAAAAGTGATGAAAAAGGCTAAAGATGAACAGCTGGTTAATGCAGTTTTTACTTGGTTTTTACAACAAAGATCTATTGGACAATCGATTTCAGGACCTATTTTATGTGAAAAGGTGTAAATAAATGTTGAGTGAAAAAATGGGTATTGCCGATTTTAAGGCAAGCACGGGATGGATACGCAATTTCAAGAATCGGCACGGAATTCAGGAATTGGATATTGCCCGTGAAAACTTTCTGCTGATAGTGAAGAAGCTGCTAAAAAAATTTGTGGAGACATTTAAAAAAGAAACATAAATGTACGACCCTGATCTTGTGTATAATGCTGACAAGACTGGTTTGAATTGGAAAGCGTTGCCAAGAAAAACCCTAGCATCTAAAGGAAAACAAAGTGCTACCGGACACAAAGTCAGTAAAGATCGCGTCACTATAATGGTCTGCGCTAACTCTACCGGTACCCATCGCCTTCCTTTATTATTGATCGGCAAAGCAAAGAAGCCGCGGGATTTTAAGAACGTAGCCAACTTACCAGTGACCAACACTAATCAGAAGAATGCTTGGATGGAGAGCACTATTTTATGGAGTGGTACGATAAAACCTTTATTCCTCAAGTGAAAAAAATTAAACAGGAAACAGGAAAAAAGGGAAAGGTTTTACTTATCATGGACAATGCGCTGACACATCCTTCACTGGAGCTTCTTGTCAGAGAAGAGGGAGATTTAAGTGTCTCTTTTTTAGGGGTCTGCGGTACAGAATATAAGGTCGGTACGGTACATTTTGTACCTCGGTTCTCGGTACAAAATCGGTACGGTACGGGGCTACCATTATTTTTTTCTTCTTCTCAGAATTGTATTGAAACCAATATTTTAAATTTAATACATTGACATTACTATGAAAATGGATGGTATCGTGCATTCATGGTTTTCTAACAACAATTACAGTCTAGACATTATTAAAACCTTTATTCCTAACAGTATTGTGTTAAGAAACACTGTTAAGATGACTTTACCTATCTTATTTACTAAAATAAAGCATAGCCATGATAAAGAGGTTTTTAAAAATAAGTTAACAATTTTTAGGAATAAATGTTATTTTTGAAACAACAATTTGATCTGTTCAATAACTACTGGTAAATTATTTCTAACTAGGCCAAACACAATAACTGGGTGTTCCTGTTATCTTAGGTTCAATTCAATTTTCTTAGTAGGCTATATTTTAAAGCTTTTCCAAAAGAATCAAAAGACCCAGGCCTAGACCTTATTATTAGGGACGGTTTAATGTTATTGGAAAATTTGGTAAGATTTTCTTAAATTATCAAATACAAAATTTAAAATCAATCCAATCAAAAATGGTGTTTCCACTACTTAAGTGATTAAAAAGCCATAAATTTCGATCAAATAAAGTGTTATAGTTGAGTTTTATTTCTTAAAGTGTTGGGGGATGTCTAAATAGTTTATACAACATAATAACATAAAGATTAAATTTTTCAATTTCATCGCGGTACGGATAGGACAGCTAGTAAAATATAAAACTCATAAAAATGCTGTTATCAATAAGTGTCAAGCCCCCCATACACGGGCGAGCATGTTCCCAAGCATGTTGGCTAACATGCTCGCGAACATGCTCGGCGTTGTCAACAGACGGACGAGCATGCTCGAGAACATGATCGCCGCTACCACCCAGTAGGCCTACTCTTGCTTCTCTTGAGCTCTGACAGTCAAGTTGTGTTTATTTATTTAAATTTAATATATTTAATTAATTTATTTTGATTAAATTCAAATGGATGCTAATGGTGTTGTGGCCATTTGTGGTGACTATGGCGACGAGCTGAGCACCGAGCCCAACATGTTCGCTGGTACGAAGACTCGCGGATCCCACACACGACCGAGCATGTTCGCCGCCAACACCGTCACGAGCATGCTCGCGAACATGCTCGCCCGTGTATAGGGGGCTTAAGTGATGATAAAAGTTTGCTGATGATAGGCTAAATAATGCTTAGTAGTCTCCAACAGGGTGATTAGTAACCATGACAACTTGTTGAATGCGTGAATGAAGGGAAACCCCAGAAAGAATGAAAGAATAATGGCTTTGTATGTTGTTATCTGTATAAGTTATATAATGTTTTATAGGCCTACAAAATAATAATTGTTTTCAATTTATAATTACGCTTCTGAAACAACACAACCAGATGCGTAATAAAGGCCAATGACCTATATATCACGATTGGGCAATGTTGTGTTTTGATGTAAAAATGCAAATCATGGCATTAATTTGAATATATTTTTAGTTAATTCAGATCATATCGTCGCACGAAGTACCTGGCCACACGGGGCGGATGAACCGCTTCCTGTTGGGTTTTCCCAGTATCAGTACTCTATTAAAACATAGTAGTTCACTCTTTTTAGTCATGGACGAAACACGTATGTTAGTTTGTGCATTAGAATAGTGTGTGGTGATCTGGACACAAATGTTAACAGAAATCATTGGGTCCATCCTTTCATAACGGAAAAACCATTTGTGTTCCAAACCTTTTACGAGCACATGTGAAACCATAGTTCGGAGTTTTTTGTTACTACCGTATGTCTGTAGCATCTTTGACAAGTTCAATAAGCTTGTCTGTATCAAACATTGTTTGAACACCACACAAGCGTTAACAAACACGCAAATCAAACTAAAAAACCCCTGGTAATGTCCGAAGAATATCTCCAATAAGCACGGCTGCCGCGCGGTCTTGGTACTGTCTTTCAATGAAGCCTATTGTAATATTATATTACTCAACGGTGGAATAAACCTCTTGATTCTAGGTGTCTTTTATATTTAATTTTCTCATCTTTTTACTTTGCTTTGCTAAAATTGTATTTTGTTATAGATTTGCAATTATAATGCCCCACCTGATCAAAAGGTCATCATCCGTTGCACTGTTATGACTGCAGATGAAGATATTCAGTCACGCATACCACATGTTCACCAACTCAAGGGGAAAGGGAAAACTCAGATTCATAAAACCATAGAGATTGATGATCCCATTGACATTCAAGTGACTGGCCCAAACTACCAGGCAGTGTAAGTATTCTAGGTTGGCTTTGAAGCACTGCTGCTGTTGTGCGTCTCTAGGCTACAAAGGTAGCTAGCTTATAGCACTTGAAGAGTAGATTCACAGGGCACAATTCTGAAACATGTGTACAGCAAAAAAGTTATCATTACAGACTGGGATGGATGGCGTCGTCCTGTAATCCAGCAACGAGGTGGTCACGAATTGTGGATATTTTTAGGCATGCACTGTGGATGCGATACTCTCTGGTGTGGATTAACGTCCGCACTAGTGAGTACTACGACTATCCGCAGTATTATATCCTGATAATTAGACCAATTCGTATATACCATGGCAAAAATGTGGTTCGGATTTCACTATAAACTGTAGTGTAACCTCCCAAAGGGAGTTACATGAATTGCCAAGTCAGTCGGTTTGGGTCGAGGGTGTTGCCTAATTGTATTTTCAGTCTTGTATTCAGTTCACCTTGTAGTCACAGGGCGCCACCTCATTTGCCTTAGGGTAGGGGGGAGTTCTATTAATGAGGAAAGGGAATTCCTAGCGGGTTGGACGATTGCCTGGTATTTAGGTGACCGTAAGGTGAGCCTGATTACGAAAGACGCGAATACGACAAAAGAACAAGTTTTACGTGACCAAAATGAACACACCTTACAATCTAAAATTACTAAAATGTACCTTAACCTCAAGATCTGGAGGTAACTGTGAGCGTGAAAATCTAGAATTCAGTTAGGCCTACCTAGTTGTGTGGATACTGATCCATTTTATCAAGGGGAAATACAAGACTTAACTAGCAAGGAATCAATAATACAATACAATTACAAGTTACAAAATGCAAATTTACTAGAGAAAAATTCAAATATTGACAATACAAGGAATTGAAAAGTGGTTCAAAATTAAAGAACACAATTAATTTCAGTACAGAAAGGCAGAAACAATTCCTTAACCAAGGTAATTCTCAAGTACCGAGTGGTTCAAAACATGGTCAATAATAACAAGAAAAGACCCTTCAATGAAACAAGAAACAATTTACTAAATTTACTAATCTCAAATATTCGAAAACATGAAACAAATTTAAGTTATTGAGTTTTAAATCTCAAAAATATTGGAACATGAAACAAACGATTTAAATATACACTGACAAGTTAACAAATTAGAATGTGGAATTTAAACAGGGTACTATTTACATACACTAGGCCTAACCAGGACCTGTCACATTCCTTCAGTAAATTAAATGATTAAATTTCAGACAATATTTTCATGAATTTAGGTGGCCACCTGAGATAAACACAATATAATACACAATGAAACAATGATACAAATAAATATAAATATTACGATGAATGTTGCGTAACCTACGTTGCTTCTTCAGAAACGGAGCGTCCAACCTAACCTAACCTAACACTCCCCAAAACGGGCAGGGTGCACTCAGTCTTCCATTTTGTTGATAATGGGACGGCTCAAATTGAAACAGAAAAGATTTGCCTGCACACAGTAAGTTAACTTAGGCTTAGGACTTATCGCTTTCACTTCCAGTCGAATCTCGGGCCCAGAGTCTCCATGGCGATAGGGTCGGATCGTCCAACGGTTGGTAGGGTAGACTTCAGTGGCAAGTTACAGTGACACTGCAGCGGCGATGAGGTCGTCAATAGGCAGATCTTGGAAGTCCAAAATGTCTCTGGTCCGTAACTGCTCCCTGTACAACCCAAAGGGAATAGAATGTTGCAATGGTAAGATATGTGGGTTTAAGTAGCACTAAATGTTTGTTCTATGAGGTCAACCACAAGAGTTCTAATAGTTCAGTCTTAGAATGGTTTAACTCGATGCAATGCACTGCCTAGGCCTAACTTCTGTGAACAGGCAATAGTTCAGTCACTCAAAAGGGAAAATTAGCCGGGAACCAAGGTTGGAGTGTCAATAATTATATTGTTCATTCACTCCGAAACGGAGATAGCAAAACAGTCTTGTAATTGCGCACTTCAGTGGGGTGAGCAAGCTAGTAAGCATCTTGGTTAGGTTAGGTACTATCGACTGAATTTTTACATCATAAATCAAAGAAATAGTAATTAATAAACATAAGATTGACTAGAGCTAATTTATTTTACATTTTTTTTATATATTTTTTTTTTAAAGTTTCCACAAAAGTTACGGTAGCCTACTAGGCCTAAGCCAAATTCCAGCCAACAAAATTCAAAATTGAATTTAAAACTTCCTTTAAATCAAACATTTCTGTGATCCACTATCAACTATACCTGTAACCTATGGTTGTAATAAAATAACCTAAACTAATAAGGTCCAACCATGTGCTCAACTTGCCATGATTCTGCAGGCAACCATATCCTAGAACATCTATATATTAATTTGAAACTGTTTTTCTTTGTCATAGCTATTTTGAGAGAACGGCTGGGTGTAGAAACTCGGTAGAGGTGTCTAAAGAAAGGTCTTGGTCTGTAGATGAGCCATCAAAAGAGAAACATGGTGAATTCCCTTGAGGCTCTGCCCCAGTGGCCTTTAAATTCCCATCCCATGTTAATCTTATGGAGGAAAATGGGGTTTTTGTCATAGCTAATTTGAGCGAACGGCTGGGCGTAGAAACTTCGTAGGGGTCTCTAAAGAAACGTCTTGGTCTGTAGATGAGCCATCAAAAGAGGAACGAGGTAAATTCCCTTGGGGCTCTGCCGCAGAAGCCTTTAAAGTTGCCTCTTCAGATTTGTTTACATTACGACCATATGCATAATTCTACACTACAGTACTTTTTAATGAAACAGCTGTTCATATTTAAATTGTGATTTATTTAATTTGTCAAAATGAAGTACAGTATTTGCAATGGGTTTTTCTGATTTTAAAATGGATTTTCTTCTGCATCATGAAACAGCATTAGCGCGCATTAGTTTTGCAATATAATGTTCTATTACCAAATCAGTGGAAAATCCTATTATCACAGTAACTCTTTTCTTTTGGAGTTAACTTATATCTATTGTATGGGTTGGTTTCTGCCTTTTATACCACTTCTTGGAGATTGTACGTAGGTGATATTCGTTGGCATATTGCATCTGTAGACGAAACTTGGGTTGGTGTATAGAGTGGAAAAGAGTGAGAAATCCTGGACAATTTGATATAGGCTAAAAATAAAACTGAATTAACACTGTTCTACATTTCTTGAGCAATCATTGAAATAACCGATTTGAAACAATGGAAACATAGAAAAAGTAATAGAACACAACCAAGTAGAAGAAATAGAAATAATGTTTTTTTTTTTCATTTATAATCGTTATCAGAGACAACCTAATGTGACTATGAGAGGGAAAAATTTTTAGAAAACACTAAAAAAACAAGATCAGCTTATTGAAAAAGATAAGATATTTACAAAATATTTTGATTATATCTAACTGTTGTGTAGATTGTGAGTATTTCCATAATCTTTGAGTCGCCTGTATTGCAATTGCTCGAATTCGAGCAACAGGTACACTAGTCTTAGTTTAACACAAAAATCAATTTTTAATTTGACAAAATTTCAACAAAAATACTATAACAGGACATTTATTTACACACAAAAAGTTTGTTAGGCCTTAACCTCACTACTTCGTCTTTGAATCCAAAATATGTTACGATTACGACATGTCAATTCCAAACTTGATAGTCAGCGACTAGTCTCTTTTTTTCAACTATTCTCGCTTATAACACATAAAAAGAATTTAACTAAGTGTATCCCTCTGTAGGAACACCAAATAAATACATAATTTGAAAGGCTAAGTATCAGAAATTTACAAAACTACACTTTAGGCTTGGACAAACTTTTCCCTGACATGTCCATTTTGGTTTTCTCGTGCTGAGCGTTTCGACAATTTCAATAATCAAAATTAATTGAACCTAAACACAAACGTTGACATTACACAGAAAGACAAAATACAATTTTCCGGTAGATGGCACCACAGTAGGAATGTGGTTAAGGATGTTGACGACGAAAAGCGGACGAACCTAGAAATGAGGTAGACAGTCTGAGGCCTAATCGCCTCAGAGGTCTAGACGGAAATGACTCGGAGCGAAGAAAACCGAAGATGGTGGGGTTGACGAAGGTAGGGTAGTACGGATTTATCACCCCTGGCAGGGGTTATTCTGCGGGTTCTATTAGCACCACCTCCCAGGTGGTTATTAGGAGTCGACGGCCCCTACAACTGCCCAGGGCGGTTTAGCGGGGTCGATTGCCTCCTTGCTGCTGGAAGCGCCGCCTCAGCTCCGGCAGTCGGCCTCGGACGACTCGCAGCACCTGGCTCGGTCGCAGCCGCACGTATCGGTCGCCTCCCAGCATAATTCTCCAGCGTTTGTTGCGCCGCTGCTCCGGTGTGAGCTGGTTGTAGGCGGCTACCAGCCGTAGTAGGACTGCCCGGGACAGCGGAAGGGCGTTCCCGGTGACCGTCTCTTCGGGCTCTGTCCGGCGAACAGGGGCTCGGGCCAGGCCACTCGGTCGAGCTGGTTCCCAGATGATGGGGGCGGTCTGCGGCGCGCTGGGCCCGCTCCGGCTCCAGCTGGTGCTTCTCCCAGACGGGGGCGGCGAGGAGGGGAGTCGCGACGGCGACGCTCGGGCAGGCGACGAGTCGGCAAGACAAGACGTGGGCGAGGCAGTGCGGCGGGGCCAGGATGGCGACTGGGTGGCGAGGCGGGACGGCAGCTATGACGGGATGAAGAGACGGGACGGCAGCTATGACGGGATGAAGAGACGGGACGGCAGCGACGATGGGGCGGAGAGGCAGGACGGCGAGGATGACGGGGCGGGGAGGCAGGGCGGTGATGACGACGAGACGGAGAGGTGGGGCGGCGATGATGACGAGATGGAGAGGCGGGGCGACGAGGAGGACGAGATGGAGAGGCGGGGCGACGATGAGGACGAGGTGGAGAGGCAGGGTGATGATGATGACGAGATGGAGAGGCGGGGCGACGAGGAGGACGAGATGGAGAGGCGGGGCGACGATGAGGACGAGATGGAGAGGCGGGGCGATGATGAGAACGGGGCGGA